GGATCAGTGAGTGCATCCCATGTGGCCTCCGTGCCCGGCGCGAGCTCGGCTGCCGTGAGTATCTGTCGTGCGCGAGAGAGCTCGCCCTGCCGCACTTTGGCGCATGCTCGCTGGCGTTTGCGCTCGGACGCCTCGGCTGGGTCGAGCGCCGTCGGCGGCTCGCGGGCTCGTGGTCCGGGCCGCGCGGCAGCGAGAAGCTGTCGCCACTCGCCTCGTTGGAACGCTGCAGCCCGCGCGAGGAGCGTAGCCCGGCCTTGCGAGCCTTGTTGCTCCGGGCGTGCCAGCAGCATGCGCGGGGCGAGCAGGAACAGTTTCCATGCTCTGGAAGCGTTCGGGCCAGTGCCCTGACCGGCCGCGTGTGCTGCGCGCAGGCGCGTCAGGGCTGACGTCAACGCGTGGCGGACTGCCGCTCGCATGAAAGGGGGCACATCCTGCAGGGTGGGTGCGGGGTTGCGAAGCTCCTCGCAGAGATCGACTTCGTCAAGGGCTTCCCAGGCTGCGTCGCTCGTCAGTGCGGCGGGCGGCGGGCATGTGGGGACAGCATCGTCCGAGTCGATGTCTGCAGGACTGGCGTCGCCGTTCTGATGGTCAGCCTGCCGGCGGCGGCGCGATCGTCTCGGTCTACGGCGTCGGTGGGCGGGGCCGCGCAGGGGCTCGAACGTTGCGCGAATGTCGTCTGCCAACGCTTGGGCTGCGGCTGCGAGCGCGCCACCACCGTAGGCCTCGAGCAAGGCGGACTGAGCGGGCGCGGAGAGGTAGCCGTCGGGCGCCGTGCACACCAGCACCGCTGCCGAGACCGGCAGCGGGGCATCCGAAGGAAGCGCGGATAGCTGCGCTGTCGCTGGCTCGAGCCCATCCGGCTCCGCGGCCAATGTGCCTACCTCAACGTTGGCGCAATCCGCGGCTGCGCGAAGAAGGCGCAGCCTGGGTTCGACGCTTCGCCGACACGTCGTCCACGGTGCGGGTCATGCCCCTCGCCTGCACACCTGGAACACGTCGATGCACGCTTGTGGTTGCGCGCCGGCCGAAGAGTGTGCCCGATTCGCGAGGGGTTATGCCTCGATGTCTTGCGGGTGTCCGTCAGGAGGCGTTCGCACACGGTCCATGCCGCGCGGCGAGCAAGCGACGTGTTCCCCGTATGCGCCCCTCGTCGTCGCGACCCCGGCTGCTTGGTGAACACATGCATGTGGGTTTGCAAAGCTCCATCCTGCCTGGGGCGTGCGAGTTGGCGGGGCGAGGGACGTCCTGCGCTTGCACCTCGTCGGGCTCGGTCCTTAGCGGTAGCTCGACGGGGCCATCGCGGGTCGGCTATTATTTGGGGTGAAGGAAGCAACCATGCACAACGAGCAACCAAGCAGGTCCGCCTTTTTGCGCTACTGCGCTGCGAAGTGCCTCCCGATATGGGCTTGAAATGGTGGAGTTCAGCTGTTCGGGCGGTCAGCTCGCTTGGCTCGTTGGCCGCCCGGCTGGACTCCTGCAAAAAATCATGTGGGAGTGCGGCCTCCCCCTCAGCGGCCTGTGACTGCTTCCACGGCCGCCCTGGCAGTTGCAGTTGCATGCCGGTTCCATTGCAGCCAGATTGTGGGGTTTAGCGCGATGTGGACATCATGGTTTTTCAAAGGGCACTCCCGCGTGTCATCGCATTGGTCCAGTGTCGCCGTGTATGGTGATACGGTTACGTCATGTATTATGTTTCACTTTCTGACCATAACACATGGTCGTCCGAAGACAAGTCTCTCCCTCGTACAAGCAAGTTGATATCGTGATCATGACGTATGCAGTTTCACGTTTCACTTCTGACTGTGTCTCACGGTCGTTCAAGGGCATCTCTCTGAACGGCGCCCAGGGTCGCGGTGGACACGACACTGGTCTCTGCGCTGACATCGAGTGGCCTCCCAGTATTGCCATTATTGTTAGTAAATACTATTAGAGAAGCAGAAGAGCCTCAAAAAGAAGCCTCGCAAGCCCCACATTGCAGATGCCAATCGAGATGGGCCCAAGGCGTTGTTGCATGTGTTTCGCTATGCCCGCCTCAAGAAAACGTCTGACCGGAAATTTTTGTGTTTTACCTCGCACCTTTTTCTGCTGCTCAAGGCGGTCCCAGTGCAGCGCAACGGCAAGGCTCGCAAGCCTTCACGGGAGGCGGCTGGCAATGGGGGGAGGGATGGCGGAGTCGACGAGGACCTCGTTGAGGAGTTGGGGGTCCGCATCAACGTTGGCCGTGCCACCGAGCGGGAGCGACAGAAGACTGGCGGCGAAAGTCCGCGCAGCTGCGAAGGAGATGAGGGACGACCCACGCAGCGTGAAGGCAGAGGTGGCTGCGGCCCGGCAGGTGGCCGGGACGGCCCGCGCCCGGCCGCGAGCAAGCAAGCGGACGAAGTTAGCGGCCTCATTGCTCCAGCGCCCTCCAACTTCAAGCGCAACGACGGCGAGCCTGCAGCGGTGGGCACGGCAGAACTCTGGGTAGGTGCGCTCCTTGGCCCGCCTGGCTGCCTGGAGGGCTGCACCAGCAGTTTGGCCCCTGACCCTGCGCGGGGCACAAGCAGCGGTGAGGGGAGAGACCAGGGTGGTGTCAACCGCGACCTGGGCACCCCCCCACAGAGGCAGGCCGTTGGCGATCACCTCAATGCGCCTGTCATCCTGACGGACGGGGTCGAGGTTGAGATCTCGGACGAGGACGTTGAGGGCAACCGTCGCCCCTGCTTCTCTGCAGGCCCGGGCGGCCGCTCGCTCCAGCTGGGCAGCACGTGCGCGCAGGACGCCGGAGCGCGGACACGCAGCGCGGTGATCGCCAAAAGGGTCTTGTCTTGCTTGGCATCGGCATCTGGCAGCCGTGAGGGGCAGGGGGAGGCGGAGCCTGCGCAAGAGGAGCACGCAAAAAAACGGCGAAGCCAAGGAAAACTCAGGCAAGGTGGGGCGGGCAACGAAAACTCGCGCAGCATGCGGACCGGCTTGCGAGAGCAGCAGGGCAGCGGAGGCCGAATCTGCTTCGCGTAAGTGGGCACGGTGCTTGGGGTTGCACACACGAACTTTAGCAACAGAAGCGACACCAAATGCACCACTCTGCACCACTTGAACGAACATGCACTTGCTGCCAGAGAAAGGGTGCCAAACGCGCACAAACGTGCCACTGAACACTCGCATGCCTTGCCATCTTCCTGGGCCTTGTGGACCACCCGCTGCGCGAGGGGCCCACGCCAAATGCCTAGCTCCCGACTAAGTTCGGAGGCCTGGCCGCGCTCTGCTGCAGCGGTCCGGCATGCTGCACATTGCATCTGCGTCCGGCCGACACATGCGGATGTGACCATTCCCAGTGACCTCTTCCGAGTGCTGCTCTTGCGCCGCATTCGCTTGCCACTCCAGATCCCTCCAGCTCGCGCCCGCCACTTGCAGCTGCCAATGGCACAGAGATGGACTGGGAGACCACCGTGCCGTTTGCGCTACATCTGGGACGTTCGTTGCGAGCGCCGTCCCGCTTGAGCGCGCTCTTGCGAGAGTTTGCCGCGAAGCTGGAGCGCGGGTTGCCCTCTATGCGCGCTTCGCCGACATGAATCTTGATGTTCCCGTGCCTGACGCACGACGCATCGAAGTTGTTCGTGATGGACTGCCTGCCGCTCGGGGCACGCACATTTCCCGAAGTGCCTCGTCTTCCCTGCCACCCTCAGGGTTGCATGGAAGGCACACTGATACCAGCGCCGGGCCGCAGTACGCAGGGCCAAGAAGCAGCTCGTCGCGGCGCGCACGTCGGCGCCTGAAGTTGAAAATGAATTGTTAGGACCCCGGGCTGCCCACTTGTTGGCGCCCTGGTGTAGAAGCGATGCCTCGGGCTCGCGGGCTCGGCTTATGGCGGTCAGCCAGGCTCCTGCTTGCGGGCCAGCCTATGATCGGAGCAAGGCGCAAGCGGCCGGCGTCATGAAACATGCGCGATGCACAATGCCGCCAACCGTAAGATGGTCGAGCTGGGCGGGCACCCCTGACGACTTCGTCCCAAGAAGGGCTTCGGTTTGTAAGAGATGGCGTGCCACCGCCGCTCCCTTGAGACCCGACGCAGCGGCCCCGCCCATGGCGAACTGGCACGCCCAGGTATCAGCGTAAAGCGGCGCGGGTCGTAGGTTGCCTTGGAATTTACCGGCATTGATTGCCAGATGCCCGGTCTAGGGGGGGAAGGTTGAGAGCCCTTCTGGAAGCGGCACTTGGCTGGTTTGGGGTTCTTTTGGTGGGGTCGCGCGACACTGCGAGCATCTCGGGGTGAGCGGGGAAGCATCACCCGTGCGGCGGACGGTTTGAAAGCGAGTCCATGACCGGCGCTGGGACATTTGACTGCACGAGTCTGGACAACACCTGTTGAAGAAGTGGGATAGTGCTCGTTGCACCCTCCTCACGGCCCTGCCGCAGCGCCCATGCGCAGCGCAGGTTGTCAAGCCGCGTCCAACGGCGCTCGAGGTCGGCGCAGGTCCCGGAGAGCATCCAACGGCGCCCCCTGCGTCGAAGCTCGGATGCCGGGACACGGGTTTGACGGGGCGCTCGGAACAGAAGCAGGCGCGGCATGAGGCGAAACAGCAAATTCACGGTGGGCACCGGGACGAGCTGCTGCTTCGCATCACGATGGCGCGCAACATATGCGAGAAGTCGTGATGCCCATCATCAGCTACTCCCCAAACAGCCTGAACAAGGGCGACTGCGTTTTTCCTTACCACTCCGCAACAGCCCTTGTGGCCGGCTGCGGAGCAAACGTAAACGCGTACGGCGACCACACCCTGGCATGTCCGCGCACCGGTCTGCTGGCCCGCAGGACGAAAATACTCGAGCCGGCATGGGTCGTAGCCCGGGAGGCTGTTGGCCCCGAGGGGCATGCGCCAGCCCGGGTGGCGCGAAGTTTTGAAGGATTTCAAGCCTGCAAAAGATTGGAGTACGGTTTGTAAGGTTATGGAATTAAGTTGCTTGCATGACAACCTCGCTGCAGAGGAGGAAACCAGTGTCTGACCGGCTCAGCGCCGAGCCCATGCCCGGGCAGATCAGCGGCCAGGATTCGATGCCCATCTTCCCGCAACAATGACCATACTGCGGACCACGTTTCCTCCAACCGGTTCTCACAGCAGGCTCGCAAGAAGACTATGAACTTTCATGGGTGCTTATCCAGCCAAGCCACCACTCTCAGCCTCAGCCCACGTACTTGATTTGCGTTTGCTTTGTCAGATTGTAACGCACTGTAAGGTGAATGCCTTGCATCATGCATCAGAACCACTGTCTTGTCGGACCAGCTTGGTGGGGTGGCCATTGCATTGATTTGACGCGACCTGGGGTGCTATGACGACTTCGACGATGGCATGCTGGTGAAAGCTTCGCTTCTGAGCCCCCATCTGCCCAGCTGTCGTAGCCTGCAATGTGTACCTGCGGATTCACCATCTGTCGAGCCACAACATGAATTGGTTCATCGATGGCCTGGTAGCATCCAACAATGGTGCTGACAACTCCTGTCGACAAATCACTCTGCTGCAACATGCTGAAACGAGACTACACTACAGGCGGTACTACTCCGATTGTTCCTCGTAGGGTGCCCCATCAAGTTTGTCCACAATTCTTCGGTGTGAGCGCCACAAGTGTGCATACCTGCGCAGGCATGAACAACATGTTGTGCATCGCAAAAATGTGATCTTGAGAGGCGGGCAGGGCGATGCAAACTCCCACCCAACTCCGTCGCGGCAGCATGCCGGCTTTGTGACGAAAACGCAGCAGCAATGTGGCATACAACGATCAACCAGGTCCCACCGAGCTAAGACGGGTGAGCAAGAAACCTACGGCATCCAGAAGACCTTTTTTCAGACTCGAAAAACCCAAGAGATGGAAGCCCAACCAGAACCTTTGCACCCTCAACGCTGGCCCCTTTATTCCAAGCCATCCCCAAGCTTTTCAACAATGATGGAAAAAACAACGGCTCTCGCGTCAATTGATATTTCCTTGGTTCCTCACCGACAGAACTCCCAATGACAAAAACGGATTTCATGCAGAGTGCATGAGTGTCCTGCACTTCTACCTTCAAACCCAAACAATGATGTTTTTGAAGCATACTTGGAAGGAACCTCGATGATTTTGGGGACGACAAATAGAGGCTGATCGATTTTCGCTCAAGTATTTTCCTCGCCCATGGTTCCCCGTTGATTGCTCGATGGGAGTATGGGTTCGTCATCATGGCCAAAGGATGCAAACACCAATAATCACAAGAAACAAACTACCTGTATCGTTCTTCTGTTGCACACCTCGCCATGTATGTGCCAACCCAAGGCATCTGCGACCACCAAGAAAGACATCATCGGCGGCCACCAGAATGCTGCAACGAAAAACACACAACACGTTCTTCACCGTAACATGGCATTTGCGAGCACCCTGTTGCTCATCGGCTGTCAAAGGAGGCCGCTAGCACGTCGCCATGTGGCGAGTGCTTCGCTAGTTTTCAAGATCACGCAGGTCCCCCCGGCCCATCGCGACCCACGCATGCAGCTTGTGCTCGAGAGCTCATAAGTCTTTTAAGTTTAATCCCTACACCCGGTCCGTTTGGCCTGCCACCGCCGCTTAGTCGTCTTTGCCGAGAGCCAGATGTAACTCCAGGATTCGAAATGCTTCTGGCAGAGAGGCTCTTATTTCGTCCGCCAGCGTCTAGTAAGTAAAATGTTCACGGCCCAGAAAAGTCTCAGGCCTCACAAAGGTTCCAACGATATCTGAGGCCATGGGCCCTGAGTATGGTCCCTTCCTCTTGTTTAATGGGGATCCGAAGTATGACCCAATGTGTATAAGGGCCCATACTTGGAACCCTAGATCTGGAGGGTCAAAACTTCCGGTCGGAGGTTGCCCCTTACTGTAAATAGCAGCATTTCTGCTTCTTCAGAGGCTGCAAATTCTGTGAATAGCACAATTTCTGCAAGTACTGTAAACATACCGTACATAGCAGCATGTCTGAGTTTTCAGACGCTGCAAATACTGTAAGAGCGGCATTTTTTCAATTTTCAGAGGTTGCTGCTGTATATGCCAGCATGAGACAATAGAAACGCAAGGTAATCATACGTTTTGACATTAACGCAAGCCTGCACGGCCTAACAAAGCGGGGGGGTTGGGGGGGAGAGCCCCTCCCCCCCCCTTTGCAAACACAATGCTCCTGATGGGTTTGCCATGCGCAAACACAACATATTCGTCGAAGTGGCTTGCAAGAAATTCATATGCATTGAAGCAAGCTTTGCATAGCAGAAAAAATACGGCTAACATAAGCCGGGGGGTTGCTGGAGGGTGCAGCCCGGAAAGGGTTCTCATGGTGTGCACGGCGAAAAAAAACAACCCCCCTCCCCGCCTTATTGTTTGCAAATGGGGGCCTCTTGTTGAGCTGCGCAAGCTTGCTTCAGGCTTTTTTTTTCAAACCCTTTTGGGTTGCACTCCCCAATCCCCGCCCCCCCCCCCCCCACGCTTTATTCTTTCCCGAACCCATCACACGAGCGTTGTGCTTGCAAATGGGAGGGGACTACAAAACGGAGTTTTCGGGTCGAGCCTGGAGCAGTTTCTCCTTTAGGAGTCCTCCTTGGCCAGGCCTGTGACCCTAGCGTGGCAGGACGCAACCTCGCCCGCGATCATTCTCTGCAGGTGAATCTGACACTCCAGGCCTTTGAGATCCTGGAGCTGACGCACTTGCATCCCCACCTTTGTTAGCTGCCGTTTGGTTGGCCTACCTGAGCTTTGGGGAGCAATCCTTGCATGAGAAGCGGCAGATTCAGTGATACCATCTCAGTGTGTTTTCTGATTTTCTGCTGGGTTCAGCAAATAACCAACGTAGACTTTGACATCGATAGAACCATCAGACAACATCGCAGCAACGGCAGCTTTCCAGACAGAGAGCGCCAAGCATCGGCGACAGAGGAGATCCAGAACCCGAAGCCGCACACGGCTTCGCAACCGCATCTCGGGACTAGTAGTGTTGGAACCAGATCAGGTGGAAAGAGATTGCTGTCTCTTGGAAAGACATCATTCTCGCAGTTCCCTTCCAGCAGCAGTCAGAAAGATGCAGCAAAACAAGCATCCGCCGTGGAAATGCGAGTACTGTCGCAGGATGAACAAAGCAGGGAGCGAGCATCGCGGAGCATGCGGAAGTCACTGGACCGTATGTGTTTCCCAGGATTCGTGGGAACAGTCAAGCTATGCCTCCTACTCGTGGGATCAGCGGGCACCGAAGTCTCCCCGTTCCCAACGCCCACGCTCTCCCCGCAAGCGGAGTGGTGGAGGAGCCAACTGGGGCAGCCAGGCTTTGGGGAATGGAAAAGGGTATGCCGAGGGGGGCAAAGGAAAGGACAAAAGCAAAGCAGCTGCTGTGCCTTCACTTACACAAATGCCACCTCCTGCGAACAAGCCGCAGATTGTCTTGCCCAGGACATCAGGGACAGCTTCCGGAGCCGCTTCCAGCTTTTGACAGCCCTGGTGGCACACCTATCGGACAAAGAGGATGTCCCAGCACCCTTGCAAGGAATGCTCGAAGTATACAAAGAAAGCCATGCTCGCGTTGCAGGCAAAGCCTTGCATCAGATGGTAGCTCGCCAAACAGAGGCGAGAACTGCTTTGCAGAAGTTGCAAAAAAACAGGCAGGGCTTCTTGGATGCTTGGGCGGACTATGTAGCCTCAGTGAGCGAGCTTTTTTCGACGCAGCTTGGCGAGATGGAAGACACCATGACGCAGTTTGAGTTTGCAGCTGCGGAGGAAGCTTGGCAAACCCAGTTGCAAGTCGACGAGTCAACTTGCCCGCTCAACAGGCGGGGAAGCCGTGACCAGAACCACGGAAGGGATGGAAGAGGACGAAGCCATGGTTGCAGCGGAAGCGGCAGAAGCCGGCCAAAGGCGAGTGCAACAGGAGAAGGCCGTGAATATGACGGCGCCTGCAACAAAAGCTTGCAGCTCAAACGTGTACATAGTGCATGGCAGACTGAACCACAGTCGATCCTAGGACCTCCGACTTGTGTTTCCTCCTTTAAGGGTCTAGGCAAGTGTGTGTCCTTTCAAGATGAGGGAGAAGAGGCTTTGCAGGCACGCAGGTCCAAGATCCGACGGATTCGCAGCGCCAGAACGGCTGCTCAGCCTTTGTCTGTGCTTCCTGCAATTGGAGGTGGTTCCCTGTCGAGCTCCACTGCCGAGGGATGGACGGAGCATCTCTGTTGGTACTCAGGTGCCCTTTTGCAATCTCTGTAAATTCAGGTGAAGTCTCCAAGGTGATTCTCCTTGCTTCGATGTTGAATGCTCCCCAAGAGTCAACGCAGGAACTTTGGGCAAGGCTTGTTTCCGATGTGGCTGCACTGCGTGTGCCTTGGCTACATCTCTGGGACCCTGACATTAGTTACTAGTTCACTCGAGCTTCCCGTGTGGCTTACCACGTATGTCAGGGATCACAGTACTTGGCACAACGAACATGTCGTCGGCGCTGCTTGTGCTCCTGTGGCTTTTCACTTGTTCACCGACGGCTGAGGCTGCTGGTTGGGGTGCAGCAGCTTTTGGTGAGAGACTCGGGGTTGAACATGCTTCTTTTCAGTTTTTAGGATGGGCTTGCGGGCCGACCACACCGCGCATTTTCTCCTCAGACTGGGCTTGCCCTACGACCAACAATGCTGCAGAATGCCATGGGCTCTTGGTCATGTGGGGCTTCGTGCGCAGTCTTCCACCATGGGTGCCTGTTTTTCTGTACACGGACTCGATGCTCACGATGAATGTGGCCCTTAGAAGATGAAATCGCGGAATCAAATCGCTGCGATTTAAACACGCAGGCCCGAATCGCTTCTTATTCGGTCGTATTCAACCGTTGGAAACGCAAATCGCGCGATTCGGGTTTCCAATGCCAAATCGCAGCTTGTGCTGCTTTCAAGCAGCACTCGTGAGAAGTGGGTTCAATGATTTTTGCGTGTTTGGGAAAAATCATTTAGCCAGCTTGGGCCCAAGGACTTTGTCACTATTTCAGAAATTCAAGTTCAGGGGCGCTTTTAGGAAGCCTTGAATAACCGGAAACTTAGATTCAGAGAGGTGCTGGAAAGCCTTCAGTTGTTTGGAAATTCAGTTTACGGAGCCATTTGAAGGCCCTCATTGGTCTCGAAACTCGCACGTAGCGAAGTACAGATTTTCTTTCATGTATATTTGAGTAAGAGTTTAGAGTTTAGGGCTTAAGCTAAACACCCTCTCGCCCAACCCAAACTAGGCTTTTCAATGTATGAAACAATCAGG